ATGCCCCCCCCCCTCTATTATTCTTTTTGTTTCTCTAGTCAATATTTTTTTAAGGTATATGAACAGCGGGCCTAGCGCAACCAATGGAGTCTTTGAATGCCCGAGGTTCAAACCCATTTCTTTGCAAATGCAAGGGAACGTTTGCCTAAATTATGCCCTTCCCTAGGTAAATTTCATAAATGGTACCTTAACTATAATTATTGTAGTGTTGGTACCTCAACTTATCTGTTTAACAATTTTGTACCCCAACTCTTTTGAAATGATGTCGGTGTTTTTTCGACCACATTTGTCTTACATTGGCCAAAAAAGAGCATTTAATCTTCGTGGACGTCATTTTCACAAGCAGTTGGGGTATCAAATTGTTACATAAACAAGTTTAAGTACCAAAAATGTACAATGGGTATGGTTAAAGTATCATTTACCAAATTTACCCTCCACTATGTGGGAGTTTTGGCCCCGGGTATGTCCTTTTTGTTTTTGTTAAGGGGTATATATGTCTTAGTTGATAGAGTGAGAGACTGAGAGCTCTATATTTGAATGTGCCTAGTAGATTTTGTGGCTGACATGATTAGAATTTTTTCACAGTTTATGCCCAAGTGCAAATGTATCACTAAATGACTGAGCATAGTCTATTCATTTTGTATCTTTATTATTATTGAGTATTATTTTTTGTCATGACACATTAACATAGGTCTCGCATAAATGAGGCCTTTTTTTCCATTGCATAGTTTGTTGTCCAATTTGTAAAATTATAGTTTGAAATGAGAACAATATTTTTCTTGATTAGTTAAAAAAATCACTGCGAAGGTGGAAGCATTCTTTTTATTTTTTGTGTACACACTCCCTCCATAGATCTTACTTTCTGAGAGATTTTATTTGGTCCATTGTTTCTATTATAAGGTATTGGAACATATTATAAAAATTTATTGTATGCTTTGGGATTTATTTATTTTACTTCCATGTGAGCTGCATGTTCAAAATACTCAGTTTTTTTAATAATAGTAATGAATGAAGTGTACTCCTTCTGTCCCAAAAAAAATCTTAAAAATACTTCTTATTTTATATTCTCTTTTAGTAACGAATGAGTGGCTCACATTTTCACTAGATTTCTTTCTCGTCTAAATAAATTTTAACCACATTTAAAAAAAGCTTTTCTTAAATTTCGTAAATGTCAATGGGTGTTTTTTAGAAAGTATGTGTACTCTTACATTATGTGTAGACTTTTTACTTTTTAGTTTATTCATATGATTGAGCATGTGCATTTCTTTTTAGAACTATCAACTATGCTATGGTATTCTAGTTTTGGCTCCAAATTTTTTACTCCCTATCACTTTTTCTATACTTTTTTTTGCACAGAAAACACACATTTCATATTACTTTTTCAACCAACCACATACAAAAGGTTTCTCAACTAATTACACCGTACATCTATACGAAAAATAATTACTCATATAGTATCTGACAAACTCTATAGCCTCCTCTATTGAACATGCTTTTTGGTGTATCACTTTGTTTCTCATTCTCCATATGCTGTATATGCAACCAGCCCACACTGCCCATAACTGTGTCTTTCTCCTTCTGGTTGAGAGCCGCTGCCCATACTCCTCCATATCCTGTAGCTTAGTTATTTTGCATTGTAAGTTAAAGATAGGGAGACAGGTATTGAGGATTCTTTGTGCTGCTTCACATTCCCAAAAGAGGTGATCCTCTGTTTCAGTAGCATCCCCACACAACACACATTCAGTCTCAATCTTTAAGTATTTGCACATCCTTGCTTTGGTTTGTAGCCTCCTTTTCATTAGCAGCCAGGTAATAAATCTGAATTTAGGAGGGGTGCATTTGTTCCATACATATTCATGCCAGTTTGGTTTCTCTTTTTCTCCTTGAATCCAATTGTAGCCATCCTTGGTACTGTATGGTTTCTCTCTCGGCATCCCATTGAAAGTATCTCTAATTCTAGTCATATCCTTCCAGTAGTGGCATGCATCATGTTTTGGTATATACCCCCCAAAATCTGCCCCTTTAATATATCTACTATGTATCCATTTCACCCACAGAATATCCTTCTTTTCAGCCACATCCCAATTCAGCTTCATGATTGTGGCTTTATTCCAATTGGCAATATTCTTTATGCCCAAACCTCCATTTTTCTTTCCTTGGCAGACCTCCCCCCCAGTTTACCAATGGTACCTTCCTGTATTCAGCAGTGCTACTCCATAGGAAGTTTCTACAAATAGCCATTACCCTCTTTATAACCTGCTTAGGTAGTATGAAAATTCTAGCCCAAAAATAGATGATTCCCATAAGAATTGAGTTTATGATCCTAACCCTGGCCATATAAGATAAGTTCCTAGTCCCCCAAACTGTGATCCTGCTGGTCAGTTTGTTAATAAGAGTATCACAATCAGCTTGTTTCAATTTAGACGTGGTAATAGGGCTCCCCAAGTATGTGAAAGGTAAATTCCCCATTTTCATACCAGCTCCTCTCTGATCTGCTGATTCACTCCTCCAAAGACAAATTGGGATTTGTTTTTATTGATTTTCAAGCCTATTGCCTTCCTAAAGTCCTCGAGCACCCCCATAATACACAATGGATTTTTTATCAGCTTTCCCCACCACGATGAGGTCATTCGCAAAGCACAAGTTTACTATCTTCAACTGCCCAAACATAGGGTGATATTTAAAACCATTCCTTTGAGTAGCCACTTGGAAGCTCCTAGTTAAATATTCCATGATCAATACAAAAAGTAAAGGGGATAGTGGATCCCCTTGTCTTAACCCTTTTGCTCCTTTGAAGTAACCATATTGTCCCCCATTAATTCTCATTAAATATGTAGGGGTTGTGACACAGAACATAACACAGTCAATGAACATTTCTGGGAACATTAAGCTGTGCATCATACCTCTAATAGCCTCCCAACTGACAAAGTCATATGCCTTCTGGATATCTAACTTCATCATACATCTAGGCGACACTTGCTTTCTGTTATAACCTCTTGCCAGTTCCTGACACATAAGGACATTGTGTATCAGTTCTCTTCCCTGAACAAAAGCCCCCTGATTTAGATCAATAATGTTTGGTAACACCTCCTTTAGTCTCCTGCAAAGCAATTTAGAAATCACTTTATATATTGTATTACAGCAGGAAATTGGTCTGTAATCCATTGGGCTTCTAGGATCTGCAACTTTGGGAATAAGTGTGATGACAGTAGCATTAACTTGTGTTAATGTTTATCCTTCCTTGAAGAAATCCAATACACTTTTTCTATACTTCCTTTGAAAAGAATTTCACTTTTAATCAAGTGGTAAAATAAAAAAAATATTAAATTTTAGTTAACTTCAATTTTGCCCTTAATGTGAGGATAAAAGTAAGATGTGATCGATAGATTAATAGAGAAAAAATATGATGTGATAGGTATGGTAAGAAAAAATAAGGGTAAAAGGAGTTTATTAATAAAAAGTGGAAGTATTTTATTAGAAGTGAAAAAATGAAAGAGTAATAGATTTTGAGATTGGAGGGAGTAGATAACTGTGTTAAGAGTGGCATCAAAATTGGTGTGCACCAAGTTTAATTGCTCTTTTTATACTCCCTTTGTCCAAAAGTGATTTTTTCATTTATTATTCACATAGTCAAATTTTATTCATTATGTTAGTCTATTTTAGTAACCATTTGTTGAAATAATATTATTAGGTCACTTCTAGTTTTAGCAATCTTTTGATGTAATTTTTAGACATATAACTTTTAATTTTTTTAATTTTACGTCATTTTTCATATAAAATGATTTGAAAAAAAACTTCAGTCAACCAAACATCGTAACACGCAACGGGAAAATTATTTTTAGACGGATGAAGTACTATAGAATCTTTTGGACCATGCTACAATCAAATCAAACTTTGTATCATGTACTCCCTCCGTCCCCAAAAGAAGTCACACTTACTATTTCGGTCTCTTGATAACTTTTGTTTGCTTACTCATTTTCGTTGACTATTTAAAAAAATAAAATATTATTGTCGCATCTTATTTTGTAGAACTGTTGATGCATTTTTTAGCAGTGTAATTCTTTTTTGTTGTTTATTTACCAATTTGTAAGTAAAATAATTTTAGAAAAAAAATGATATTTTGTATATTCTTCAAAATACTGCAAACAATTCTGGACGGGGGAGTATTTTACTAGCATGTACATAATGTAGTCATGGGAACCAAAGTGGTACATAATATAGTCATTTAACCCCCTTTTTTTTGTCCCCTTCATCTTTCAAGTTGGCTGGTATGCTTAGCTGTGGACATTGATGGGGGGGGGGGGGGGCAAGTAGATTCCTCACTTAACACTATGTTTGGTTCAAGGAATTTGGAAAAAAAAGAAAAGAAAATGATTTTCTCTCATTTTCCTCACCAAAATGGGAGGAATTTGATTTTCCCTCCTCTTAATATATTTTGTCTTCTCATTTCCTTTTCCTTCCACTTTTCTTTTCTTTTCCTATCCATCCAAACAAGAAATGCTATTTTCTATCTCATTTTCTTTTCCATTTCAAAATCCTTGAACCAAACATAGTGTAAATGACTGTTCCAATATAATTCAGCTGTGAATGTGCTGTGAAATATTAATTGTGTTTTGTTGAGTGACCACTTTCATCCTAAATATTTTGAGATTAGATTTTATTTTTTACAATCTTCAATGTCGTGAATTATTATATTTTTACATGATTAAATATTACAGAGTATAAAAAAAGGATATTTCAGAGTAAATGTTATGACACTAGATTAACGTTATAATTTACTTTTAAATTAGGTGAAAGTTTATAATATTTGATTACGAGAAGTCGAATAGACAATGTTAATAAGGACGAAATGAACCTCTCTATTTATTGCTTTTATTTGTATTGGCATTGGCATTGACTACAATGCAATTGAGAGGTAATTTATATTTTATTTAATTATAGATAAAAGGTTAAATGTAGTTGATCGAAAAAATTAAAACACAAATACTCTGGAATAAATTTATTTTCATAATATGCGCGGAATAATATTTTATTTTGGAGGTTAGACATTTTTTTAAAATGAGAAAAAAAGAACAAAAGGAGATGGTCCAAATTGGGAAGCCCGACAAGCAGTTTTTGGGCCTAGAAGATATTGGGCTGTTATCCTTCCACTGCTGAGAAGAAGATGTTTTCGCTGCTCTGTGAAACCAGCCTCACGCATTGCCCTCCATTTTAACGGACCAGACTCCCATACTTCCGTACAAGAACCTCGGCCCAAATCCCAGCTTGGCAAGGGCAGCCCAAATAATATATTCTTCGGTCCAACCTTCGAGACCTGCCCAACGTTCCACCACCTCATAGCCCCCACTTGGGTGACAAGCCCGCGTTACCGAGCTCGGCGAACTAATCTGAGAACTGGCCATTTATTAAGAAGGAAATTATAAACTAAAATTCCGGTGTGGGAGGAATAAAAACCTTCCTTTCTTTTCAGTTTTCACTTTTCAGCTCCGCTTTGTTTTGCTTTTTTTTTTGTGCATTGGATCCATGTTCCCTTGCATATTCCATGAAAATATAAATACTCTTCCTTGTCAATATATTTTCCTCTCATATATTGAAGAGTTGATATACTAATTCCACAGGAGGATACAAAGAACGCACCATCTGAATTTATAATTTTTAAGTCTCGTACTACTGGAAACTCTACAAGAAGCCGATCACCGCCGTCACGAATATTAGCTGGGGTTTCACGCACAGAAGTTGTTGTCGATGGGTCGCCTTGAGTCAGATCACAACCCCTCTCCTTTCTTCATTGCATGTTGTACCCAAAAATAAGGGTATGCGGTTGTATCTAATAACTAGCTTGTATTGAATGTTTTTTAATACTGTACAAAATATTTGAAATAAGTTAAATGAAATGACTAAATATACTATTTTCTTCCAAATTTGTTAAATTCGCTCTCTAAATTACAAATATTGATTTTATAAGAGTGGGTGTTGATTTAGCAAAATTTGACGTTTAGTCTCACCTTAAGTTAAATATGTTGAATTTATTAAATGTTAATCTCCTTTAAACTCTATTAATGTTATGTTTGGTTCCAGATATTCGGAAAAATGATTTCACTCATGTTACTTATTAATATAGAAGGAAAATTATCTTCTCAAGCACTTTCATCCTAAATATTTCAAATTAGATTGCACTTTCTTATTTTTTTTTACGATCTTCAAAGTACCATTTAGATCGTGAATTATTATATTTGTACATAAATTTATATTACGGAGTATAACAATGGGACATTTAAATGTAAATCTGATGACACTAAATTAACATTATAATTCACTTGTAAATTAGGTTAAAGTTTATAATATTTAATTAGGGATAATAGCATGGGTGCCCCCCGTGGTTTACAAAGGAAGCGCCAATACCCCCTCTACTTTCAAAAGTTATTTGTAAAACCCCTGTGGTTTTTAAATAGTGCACAAACACCCCCTCTTGCCTATTTTACACATGAAATGACATTTCTGCCCTTGGTTTTTCTCTATCTTCAAATTTCACTCTTTTGTTTACATTTTTTGTCAAATAAATAAAATAAAATAAACGCCATCTTTCTCAAATTAAAATTTTTTATTTATTTAATTTTCAAAAAAATAACTTTTTAAAGAAAATGTTACAAAAATGAAATAAAATATACTTTTTCATTATAAGTAAAAGTAAAATAAATAAAATAAAAAATTGGATAACATATACTCACTCTATCTCTAATTAAAAAATCTAACTTATTTGTTTTTAAAAGTAAACTAATTTTTTAAGGACTTTAAAAAATGAAGAACAGAAAGATGAAATAAAATATGGAGTTAAAGAAAAAGACTATTTTTTTATATTTTTATTACTTTTCATTACCAATTTTAACTATTATTACTTTTTTACTTTGTACATAATATTTTATTTTTCCTTTTTTTGTAACACTCTCCAAAAAAATCTTTTGTTTTTAAAAGTACATTATGAAAAATTCTGATTTGAGATGGGAAGCGTATATTTTATTTTATATATTTGTATAATAAATGAAATTGAAATTGGAAAAATTCAAGATCAGAGAAAACAAAGGGCATAAATGTCATTTTTGCTTTAAAAATATGTAAGGGGGGCATGTGTGCTCTATTTAGAAACCACATGGACTTTACAAATAACTTTTGAAAACAGAGGGAGTATTGACGCTCTTTTTGTAAACCACAGGGGACACTCATGCTATTAACCCTATTTAACTACGTAAAATTTAGCAGACAATGTAAATTAAGACACATTTATTGCTTTTATTTGTATCTGCATTGTCATTGACCACAATGCATTTGGGCATCATTTTCTGTGGTCTATAGAGTATTTGTTGTCTTTGCATTACACTACTATGTCATTTCACTCATTATTCTAAATACTTGAAGTTTTAATATGTATACTTCAATTTTGATTTTGCTTATTACACTAAATATTTGAAATTTTAATATCTATTCTTGAACTTTATTGATATTTACAAATTTGTTTTTCCAATCCTATAGAATAGAATCAGGGGTAAACATAGTTCACCAAGTACTAGAACAAAAACATTAGATATAAGGTTCTCATTTCATCAAATGGAATTCCAAAATTATAAAAAAAAACAGAATTAGGAAAATGCTAATTATTTTTCAAATCTCACCCTGCCTTTTACCCCAATCTTCTAACAGACATTGAGGTCCGTTTGGTATACGGAATTGACGGAATTGGAATTGAAATTCCATGGGATTCAATTCCATAGAATTGAATTCTGGCAATTCCAATTCATTTTTTGCACTATCAATTCAAAATCCACATAATTTTTGTGCTACCAAACACCAGAATTGGAATTGAAGTCTTCAATTCCAATTTCATGGTTTGAATTCCATGTACAAAACGGGGCCTGAATAACAATTACTCCTTCCGTCCCGAATCATGTTGTGTATCTACTATTCGCAGAATCAAATTTTAACCTCTTTCGTTACCTGTTGAATAATTTCATATTGTGAAGTCACCTCTTGTAGAATTTTGGATGCAATTGTTTAGTATATGAGTATTATTTTAAATTTCACACTGCTTTTCATATGAAATTAACTAAAAATAATTTTAGTTCAATATCATGAACTAAAACGAGTAATTTAAACTGAGACAAAGGGATCATTTGTGAATGTCTGTGAAAAACTAAGGTGAGAGGTGAAGTACCCATCAGGCCATCACTAGCTTAGTCCAAACAATTTTGAATACTTATTAGTGTCAAAATTATAATCCTTCCATCCAAATTTATATTGTCTGTTTTAATTTATGATGTTTGACTAAAATTACTTTCAAATAATTTTCTATAAAAATGGTGTAGAATTAAAAAAATAAATACATATTTATAAACTAGATCAAAAGATCCACAAAACTAGTGATGACATAACCATATTATTTTATAAAATGCCTCACGAAAATAGAGAAATAAAGTTTGACCATGTGAATAATAAACGGACAATTTAAATTGGGAAGGAGAGAGTACTCCGTAATAAAATTATGCACATCAATTGATCATTCAAAATAAACTATCTTTCATATTGCATCAATGAGAACCAATCATGCCACCAATGCTAATCAAATAAAGGTTCCTTGAATGAAGGAAAATGAGCAAACCACAAGAGAGTGAAATGTGAGAATACCCTAAAATGTAACACTTCACAGTTGGAGATACAAACATTACAATGAATCAGTGTTGTAAAAATCCTCCTTACAATACAGTTGCAGTACGTGGTGATCTACGCCGCTTTTGCACATACATACAGAAAGGTATCCGCGGGGGGTGGGGGTGGGGTGGGGTGGGGGGTCAAGAGACGCGTTGTCTGTTATGGCCACGGCCAACTCTCTTCAGAATACAAAGCCGCAAGCGCTGGCTGAGCTCCTCCAGCTTTTCAAATTTCTCGCGTCTAGATTTCTTTGTCAGAGGAGGTGTCGTCTCTGCGTTCTTCTTCTTCGCCTTCTTCTCATCTCTCGAAGTCTCCAATATGGTTTTTCGAAATCTTCGTAGAGGCGTTGCGAGGATCTCCAGAGGAGTCTGAGTCTGATGGAAGAAGGTTCAAAGACAAGCATCAAGCGAGCGACTTAGCTTTTAATATTACCATTTTAATAGTGCTTAAGGCCCCGTTTGGTACACGGAATTTAAACTATTCTGCTGTTTGGTAGCACAAAAATTATGTAGATTAAGAATTGATAGTGCAAAAAATAAATGGGAATTCGTGAATTCAATTCTACGGAATTGAATCCCATGGAATTTCAATTCCAATTCAATTCCAATTCCGTATACCAAACGGACCCTAAGAAAATACGAGCTTCAATGGTTTCTTGGAGACCGCATCTCTACTTCATAGTAGGGGTAAGGTCTGTGTACACGCTGGCTCCCCAGACCCTAAATCTATTGGGATATGAATAGGTTTGTTTTTTTAAAGAAAAAATGAGCACACTATGTTTGTTGATTCAATGTAGTAGTCTCATGGTTTTGAAAACATGACCAGACCGGTTTTCAGTTGGTTGAATCAGAAATTGGCCGCGCAAGTAGTTCGGTAAGTGAAAAACCAACAAAATCAGGCATTCAGTAGTTGGTGAAAACCGGTCAAACCGATCCAAAACCTTGTGATAAGAACCAGATTGAAGTGGTAAATTCTTGTTATAAAGAGCAGAAAGTATTAAAAGAGAAACAACATATGTGCAATTTATTAAGATCAATGGTGAAGGGTGAGACCTGATTGTCACTCATTATAACATGTCCATTTTCGGAGCAAGTCTCGTTATCACTTCCAAGAGACGAGCATCTTCCCCAACTCTCCCTATTCGAGCTTGTGTAGGAGAAACAATCCTCATTTTGACTACTAGTTCCCTTCTTAAAGTGAAAGAAAATAGATAAAAATAGTAATAATAATAGTAAGTCCGAGTACACTATTCACACATCAAACTTTTTCGTCTTTCTTATTTTCGTCAATCATTTCTTAAAATAATAGTCATCACATCTTTTATATACCATTTGAGGCAATTCACTAATTCTTAAATATATAAATTTTATATAAAATTTTGTACCATTATTTAAATAAATTGAATTGAAAATGAATTAGATCACGCTTCGTTATCTGCAATGGAGGTTTGATGTTGGGATGGAGGAAGCATGCGTGTGTAAAAACAAAAAAAATACCATAAAAAGTAGAGTGCAGGGAGAGTATGTGTACGCAGACTTTGATCAACACTAGATTTCTAGATGTTGTTACTTGTTCGTGTTCCCTTTTTGAGCCAGTTACACTTATGTGTGTATGGAACGGTGTTGTTTGATCCGAATAATAAAATCTTGTTTAAAAACTTGTCTCCAATAAAGGGGTCATATTTCATCAAATAAAGCTAGTTTATCATGTCATTGTAAAAAAAATCAGAACCAAGTTAAACCAACGAATACGGAATAAATTTCAAAATACAAATATGATTCCATGACTTTCAAAAGTTACTTGCTAAATAAAAATGGTGTAGCTTGATTAAACGTGATTTTTTTAGATAGAGGTAGTAATTCCAATGGGTTCTTAGGAGGAGGGGAAATTATTAAGGGGAGTTTAGATGTACAAA